TGATTTTTTAAATTCATTTTTTATCTACAGCATATATAATGGCCAAGTGATAAAGAGCAGTTGAGTGGTTCACTTTGAACTTCCACACTTTGTCGCTGCCCACTAATCCTTCTCTCCAGGACTTATTCTAAAATATCATATTCTCCAAGCAGCTGACATACAGCTGACTTTTTTGTTCAGATCAACCACAGAAATGCTTCCTTCTCCCTCCAAGCGTGGAATTTTCCACCTAAAAATTACACCTTCCTGAGGCCCAAGACAGGTAAGATTCAGTCCTCATCCAGTGACAGTTTTACTATACATAAAAATGTCATTCTCTTAAAGTCCAGTATTTTGCAACCCTGCAGGGCCAGAAGCAGAATATTTCCAGCTCCCCAAGGGAAAGTGTAGCAGTCACTACTAATGCTGGACAGGTCCAAGATATTATACTTCAGTTATATTTTAGGAATAGAAGAGTTATGCAAGATCATTTTTATAGATTTTTATGGCTCCCTCTGAGTACATGCGGGCTCACAGTGGCTAGGACACCTGGTTTTATGGGCTGAGGGATATAGAAAACAGTCCCTATAAATATTTTCAAAACCCTGTAAAACAATCCTATAATAGAATAGGTGTTTGGGGCACACAAGCGGCACATACAAGGTACATGAGAGTGAGATGGCATAAATGATGTAAATGTGAAATCCTTTTATATTTACTGATAATATCCAGAGGAGAGAGAGCAAAAGAGAAACCATATGATGCAAAAAGAAAAATCAGTAATTAATTTGTTACAATATTCTCTCCATAGCAAATACAGTATTAAGACAGATTTTGATATTAGTCATTCTGGATAATACTCCTATGTTCACTCATGGAGATGTACTGAAAATGTTTAACTCCCCGTACATTGAAAAGATTACCACTCGATGTCTGACATTAATACATAGTATTACCAATTCATATCTGATAACCTTCTTTATTAAATGCTATTAATCAGAAAATAGCTTTGAAAGCCATAAACAATGCTTTTATATTTTTTTAAACTTTTATTCAGAGAAATAATGTACTTGAGAGGGAAATAATAATATAACCTTGCATCGGTTTGTTTTTGCAAGAATCTTTGCTTATACTAATACATTTATATGCATCAAACAAAAATAGATCATCCATAAAAGAACAATTACAGGGCATCAATCAAGACTTCATAACATTATTCCAAGATATCTATAAGGAATCATCACTAAAAAAAAAATTAGTGTTTTGTTTTCTACAACTTCTCACAAATCATTCCATAAAAGTAGCCATCCTACTTTTATTGCTCTAAACTCAATTTGAGCTGCATTTGATATTAGATTTCAAAATGTTATTAAAAGTATCCTATATAACAATATGCACTGTGTTTTTCTGGTGCAAATATTATGTTTACAAGCTTGGTGCATCTTACACTCGAGTGTCATTGACACCTATTCCATTTCCAGGAGAAAAAATTCCAGGGGACTGAAAAAAGGTAATGTTTAAAAAAGCAAGTTTTAACCAGATAACATGAATAAGTTAATGCATGGGTTTTCAATCTTTTTAAAGGAGCGTACTTCTGGGTACAATTTTGGTGGAGTGGAGGGCGTGGCAGCAGCCAGATGTGGAGCAGAGGTAGGGGGCTTGCAAACGGCAGCAGTGCAGGGTGGTGGATAGTGATGGCAGATGCCACATGTGAGCGAGCTCCCCCTCCACGTCCGGCTGGCTGGGCAGCACCTATGCAGCCTGCGGGGGGAGCCACTGCCCTCACTCTCCACCTCCCCCTGGCCTTGCTCCTGGGAGGCGGTGGCGCGGGGTGGCGGGTGGTGGTACTCCATCCCTGCCCATCCACACCTACCCCCTAGCTCCTTTCCAAGTACCCCCATTTGACAACCCCCGAGTTAATTAATAAGAGCTTTTATCATCTAACTGGTTCAGTAGTCAAAAAAAATGTGAATTTGCCCATAATTTCAGTATCAACTGCAGTTAAAGGTGCAGGGTTCAGCTCTGTTTTGTGGTGATTGTACTTGCCACTAAACTGGGCTTTGGAGACAATATACACACCTCCATGAATACAGATGGTTATACAAGAGGCTGATTGACTTCAATAACAATGTGCAATATACCATGTATAAGTATTATTTGAAAGATTTGACTATGACTGAAGTGATCAGTGTGTAGGGCGGTGTATGTGTGAAGCCTGCAGATTGTGAACTCCACCCAGACATCTAGGCATGTAGATTCGTGGCAGCAGGTTGGGCTGCATCTTCCCAGTCCATATGGAAACTGTCTCTGTTGGTCCTGAAAAAGACGGGCTCTTGTCCCACACAAGCTTCTGTGAGCATGAGGTTTTGGTGCACGTAAGAGAGAGTCTGCCCCTATTACGGTTTTTCTGTTTTCAAGGTCATACTGAAGTGTGACTGCGTTTTTTATTTTGAATGGGTGTAGCCAAAATGCCTGGTGTACCAGATACAATGTCCTGTAAAGATCTTCCGGACAATTGCCCAGATTGCTTTCATTTGTCTACAGTGCAAGTTTGGAAGAAAGTTTTTGAGTATTGGCCAGCAAAAGAACTTTGCATTCCTTTTTGTTATTATTCATTCTGTTGTATTTAATTACTTTATATTGCTCTTCTTACATAATAAGGAGCTCTACTGTACTTCACTAATGAATTTCTGTAAAGGATTTCATTTAGCATGCTTCATGCATTGAGCTAATTAAGGAAAAATCATTCTTTAAGCTAATTAACTGTGGTTTTTAAATGTATCCTTCTGGGTTTTGCATAAAAGTATAAACATTTCAGAGCAGCAGAAGTCTGAATCCTAATGAAAACAGAAGAGAAACTGCAGTGTGTGTTATTCCCCAGTATAGTCCCGTTTGGTCTAATTTGAAATAACTTGATAAGCAGAGCACAAGGGCAAAATATTCAGAAACTGAATCCTAGCAAAGTCATGAGTATCTCCACTTCTCTTCTGGAATAACTTTCATTTAAAAATGATACATGGTGGAAATACAAGAAAAGCCATAGCAGATGAGAGAGGGAGGAAAAGGCACGTTATAACCAATTAAAAATCAAAATATTTAGCTGAAGGAAATACTCTTTTTCCTCCTTAATTCCTATCTAGACTGTTTTTTAAATTTTTTTTCACATAAGGTGTTTTGTAGATAACTGACAAACGGCTTGATTTCTCTCCCATCCAGACTCAAGGTTCCAGCACATTTTGTGAGCAATTAGAATAGATTAAAACAATCTTTAACGCACCCACAAATTAGAGTTTGGTGTATCACCTGAGTTCACAGGCAGGTATTAACTTCCCCCATAAATTAGACACCAGGGGACTGGCATCTTTTTATATGCATGTAGCGCCTTGTTAACCAGAGGAAAAATTCACATTCTCAATTGAGTTACTTTAGTTGCATCACCTTACTCTTACGTTGCCACTCATTTCCTCCTGCCTGATGATTTATGAACTCTAAAATTTGCTATTCAAAATTCATGCTGTGTTGCCAAGTTGAGATGCTATCAAAACAACTGAAAAAGTAGCCTGCCCTTGTGTGATGTCTAAACCAAATTTGCTAAATGATAAGGCCTCTTTTTTGTCTTTTGTTACATACAGGATTTTGGAGAGGATGATTCCCTCTACATCACCAAGGTAACAACTATTCACATGGGCAATTACACCTGTCATGCCTACGGCTATGAAGAGCTATATCAGACCCACATCCTTCAGGTGAATGGTTAGTAAATGGCATATATGACAATCCACTGAAAATGTTCCAGTAAGCAATGCTGAATGTTAATCTTGTTCTCATGAAGCAATGAAATGGAGCAGGAGGATTTTTCTGCAAAGGAAAAATTTAAACAACTATAGGCTTGTCCACTCATGTTGTTATTGTGGTGTGGTCTGATTACACAAGTGGGCAAACACATAGTTGTGTCGATTTTTTTACAGAGGTAAGCAGCATAAAGTGAGTCTGAGTGAATATATAAATACATTTTGCCCACCTTTACCAATAAGCTTCACCAATTTCATGATCTAGAATATGATTCCTGTTTCACTTAATAGTTCAGACTGTTTATACTACGGCAGGATTCCTGTTACCAGTTATTAGCATGAGGCCAGATTATCAAGTGGTTTAAATCGTCCCAGTTCCATTGAGGTCACTTTGCAGCAGGTTCCAAACAGAGGAGGAAACATTTTACAAACAGTAAATTTCCAAGTAATCAGAAAACCAGACTCCTGACTCCACTTAATTAGCATCTTATTTCACAAGTAGTCTCACTGGAGCTGGTGCTTACCTATCATCAGCAGAAGTCCCTTGTAGTCGAGGATGATTGTCTTCCATGATTGCCCTATCTGTGGGTCCAAAGACAGATGACAAGGCCCATCTGGGATCAACAGGTTCTATTTCAACTTGGGCACGTGTTTCCATGTAGGGTGGGTGACTCTGGATTCTTGGTTCAGTCTGTGACACTGTTTGCCGCTCCTGGTTTTGCATCACATGTTGTCATTGTGAGGTGTCAAAGTCCTTGCAGCATCCTTCCTCCATTTATGGCAGTCCTGGGCGATAGTCTCCCGTGAGTTGATGTTGATGTTGCATATTTTTAAGTTGGCCTTGAGGACATCCTTAAGGTGCTTTTTCTGCCCTCCTCTTGAGCATAGGCCTTGACGGAGCTGGGAAAATAAAACTTGCTTCAGAAGTCTGGAGTTAGACATCTGGATGATGTGACTGGCCCAGCAAAATTGATGTCAGATGATCATTGCCTTGATGCTTATGATGTTTGTTTGCTAGAGGACACTAATGTTGATGTGTCTGTCTCCCCACTGGATTTGAAGGATCTTCTACAAGCAGTGTTGATGGTATTTCTCCAGTGACTTGAGGTGTCTCCTGTAAGTTGTCCATGTGTCAGCTCTGTACAGTAAGGTAAGGATCACAACTGCCTGATAAACCATGAGCTTGGTTTTGAATTTGAGGTCATGAACTTCAAACACCAATTTCCTCAGGTGTCTGAAGGTTCCACTTGCACAGTTGAGGCTATGTTGAATTTCTTTATCAATGTCAACTTTCTGCGAGAGATGACTTCTGAGATATGGAAGTACTCAATGTTCTCCAGAGTCTCACCATAAATCTGAATTGCTGAAGCTGCGGACTGCTCATTAAGAGCTTGTTGATAGAGGGCCTTAGCTTTCCAAATGTTAAGCATCAGTCCTATTCTCTTGTATGCCTTAAAAAAGATGTCGACGAGTGCCTGAAGATCTGGTTCTGAGTGAGTACGCACTACAGCTTCATCAATATACTGGAGCTCAATGACTAAGGTCAGAGTGGTCTTGGTTTTGACTCAGAGTTGGCTGAGATTAAACAATTTACCATCCATTTGGTAGTTCAGTTCCACTCCGACTGGAAGCTTACTAGTGGTCAAATGTAGCATCATGATAAGGAAAAGCAAGAAGAGTGTTGGAGCAATGATGCAGCCTTGCTTAACCCCTGTCTTAACCTCAAAAGGATCTGTGATAGATCCATTACTGAGAACCACAGCTCGCATACCAAGCAAGTGAAGAATGGTGATGAATTTCTGTCGACATCCATACCTCAGAAGGATCTTCCACAGCACTTCTTGGTTGACAGTTGAAGGCTTCCCTGAGGTCAAAGAAGATCGTGCAGAGAGGCATATGTTGTTCCTGGCATTTTTCCTGCAGATGACAAGCAGTGAAGATTATGTCAGTTGTGCCTCTTGAAGGGTAAACAGGAAAGAGAACTCTGCCTTCATGGAGTTGGCTTTGTCATTAAGAATGAACTCATAAACCAACTCAATGAGTTCCCTGTTGGAATTAATGAGCGCCACATGCCTCTCTGTCTCAAATTGACAGGGAGCCAATAAACCACTGTCATCAGCACGTATACCCCAACTCTTGATGTCACAAATGAAACAAAGGATGAATTCTATGCCAAACTTGACCAAATCCTTTCTGACATTCCAGAGGGAGACAAGCTTATTCCGCTCTGCGATTTCAGTGCCAGAGTCAGAATGGACTCAAATCTCTGGTCACAAATCTCTCAAACCACTGGCAAGGAAGGAGTGGGAATGGTTAGCTACAATGGCATCCTCCTTTTGCCCAAACGTGCAGAACATAGACTCACCATCACCAACACCCTGTTCCACCAGAGAAGCAGGTACAAGATATCATGGCAACACCTGTCATCTAAGCATTGGTACTTGAGTGACTACATCACTTGTACCCAGGATTGCAAAGATGACCACATCACTCAAGCTATACTGTTCAATCACTTGATGATTGCCAGACCAATCACTGACTCATCCTCTCAGTTGTATCATTCAAACTGGCTCCCAAATAGTGGCTGCAGCAGAAACAATGGCAATGGCAGATCAACAACAAAAGACCCAAGGACCCAACCAAGCAAGACCTCTTCCACCAATGCCTCAACAAAAAACTGGTGAATTCCAATAAAAATGTTGGCAGCACTTGGGGTGCACTATCACTGTTGCCTATGAAGAGACACTTGGATTCTCTACCAGTAAACACCAAGACTTATTTGATGAGAATCATAGAAAGATCCAAGAGTTGCTCAACCACAAGTGCAAGGCCTTTTGTGCTTAGCAGAATTACACGAACTCCAAGAAAAATAAATTGGATCACCCACAATCCACGGTAAGAGGTCCAAAGGAGGACCTGCGATATAAAGAACAGATGGTGTAAAGACAAAGTGAAAGCAACTCAACATCTCACTGACATCCACGATATGTGTGGTTTCTTTAGTGCCACCGTCCGAGCACTCAAAGACCAACCCCCTTGAGATCTAAGGCTGGGGGAGACCTGATCAAGGAAAGGGGAGCCATCAACAGAACATTTTGAAGACTTTCTCAATCTCAACTCTGTTGGCAAGAGTATTCTCAATTCCATCCGGCAACACCCAATCAGAGACAATCTTGGAATCCCTCCAACCCTTGATGAGGTGAGGTAAGTCATCAAGCAGATAAAGAACAACAAGGCATCTGGAACAGATGGAATGCCTGCTGAAATCTTCAAGCAGGGGGAAGAGGATCTTACATCACAGCTCTGTGCCCTCATCTTAAGGATCATGGTGAACTCAGGGACACCATGATCATGACAATCTTCAGAAAGACAGGTCTGCCTGTGGAAATTACAGAGGGATTGTCTTGATGTCCACCACAGGAAAGATCATTGCAAGAACCCTCCTTAACCATCCCCTTGCATTTGCTCAAGAGCTTCTCCTGGAATCTCAGTGTTGGTTTAGGGCTTACCTATACAGCGCTCATATTCAGTGTCACATTTTTGCTTCCCCCATTCCTGGTCTGGCTTGATACTGCAAAGGCCACTGCCTAGTAAAGCAAAATAGGGGTGTTCTGCCGAACCCCTACCAGCTAATGTCCCTTGTACAGAGTCTACACATTGCCCTGCAGTGACATTGGTACTTCACCATGCTTTAGTGCTTCCAAAAGGAAGTACTAAAGCACAGCTCAGTAACTGCTTGTACGGTGCTGTGCATGCGGTGTATGGTTAGTTTTTGCCGCTATTTCGCCATAGTGGTGCGCTAAAACAAGGGACCACACCACTATGGCTAAGTAGCTGCCAATCATATGTAGACCCACGTCACCCTATGTCTCCATAGCGATGCACTACAGTGACATAGCGCGTCGTTATGGTGATGTAGACGTCCCACGTGAGGAGTGGGAAAACTACACTCTGAACTACAGCATGATTCTCAGCTGTCCCTTTTGAGCATCTATCTGCCTGTCTTATGCTGGTGAAGCAGTGTAAAGCTGGTAGGTCTGGGCAATGATAGTTTTTATGCCTTATGCACCCATCCATCTGTTAATGTACAGGCAGAAATATACAATGCTCTAATTCAGTGCACTAATTTCAGCCGAATATGGGTGAGTTTAATCCATCGTACCTTAATAAGCATTGTATGTCTGCTATGAGGGGCTTTGCTTTAATGAAGTTCATTACTACGTTATTAGTGTATGTATATTAGAAAAAGTTGTGTCTATATCATTATTAGATTTACAACAGCCCTTTCAGGTACTATGTACTTTTCAGGCATTCATAAAGGAACAGAATCAGGTTGCTGCTAAGAGCAGATAAGTACACAGTGTAGTAGAGGTTAAGGCAAGGAGAACAAATAAATAAGAATTTTAATGCAAATCAGGGGACATAAAAGTGATCAGGGTAAGGGTCTAGTGGATAGCCCGAGAAAGTCATACATTGGAGAAAAGAGGAACAAAGCACTAAGGTAGTTTGACTGGAAATGAACCTAATGTTTACAGATGATATTTTTTCATCTTTTGATATGGTAAATGGTGAAATCCCAGAAATACAGGTAACTACATTGTACGTGGTTCAGTGAGGAAAATAGGTTTCCCTCCTCAAAATGTTATTTGTTTGATGAATGACAGTTGAAAGAAAAGCAAGCTAACAACTTAATCCTGTATATATTATACAATGTATTATGAACCTTGAATGGAGTTTAGTTGGCAGGCAACAATGTAGATTTTGTCATCCCTGAGAATTAAAGACCCAAAGGCTTTGAAACTAAAACCAAAATGCAAGAAGATTAAATGGAATGGGATTTTTCACTTAGTGGTTCAAATCTGAGACATACTCAAGCTTGTCACTCAGATGTTACATTTTGTTGGGGGAGGGATGGCTGATGCTTCTAGATTAAACTAGTAGTGAGAGTTTTGCAAAATAGCT